TTATTATAATTATAGGGCACTATGAAATCCGTTTTATTTCCAAATTAATTTTTTTCCATTTTCATTTTACTATACTCTGTTTTAATATTTAAATTTTATTTTATTAATCAAAAAGCCTGTCTAATTAATTGAGTTTTACAGTTTTATCTTTACCAAATTCTGTTTTCTGTTATTTTCTGTATTCCATTTTAATGGTTCCATTAAATTTTAATAATCAAAAAGCATCTCCAATTAATTTATTTTATTAAAAAAAAAAAAAAGTTTTTTTTTCAGAAATACTGCACATTTACATTTTTCTCCTAAATAAATTCTGGTAAATAACATTTCTGGTAAATACTCCTTTAAAAAGTGTTTTTTATTATAATTTTATTATTAGTACACTAGAACACTAGATATGTTGTCATTCTTACACTATAATACTGAACTTTGATTTCAGTGATTTGGACTGTGAGATGGACACTTGCTTCTTGCACTTTGTTGCACATTAATTTTTTACTTTTGGATTTCATTTGGTTTAATGAAATATAGTTTAATAAAATATTCTTAAGTAAAATTGTTGATTTTTTTTGTGGGAAATTAATCGTTTAGATTAATCGATAAATTAGTCGATAGATTAATCGAAATAAAAATAGTCATTAGTGGCTGCCCTACTTAATTGCATTCTAAAATCTGTCAAGATATTTTTTAGCTATTTTATAATGCAAGTACTGAAGTTTGTTACTGGCAAGCTTCATATATGCATCACATGTATGTTTTTTTGACCAAAATTACCCATTTACCTCAGACAATGAATTAATTTTTCTGTGTGCAGGCATTTAATCAAACTGGTCTGCAGTCTCTCTCTGACGGACAGTGTGAATCATGGCTCTTCCGTTTAAGAAAGATCTGGAGAAGTATAAGGAGATCGATGAGGATGAGATTCTGAACAAGCTGTCAGAGGAGGAACTCAAGCAACTGGAGAGTGCTCTAGAGGAGATCGACCCCGAGGTGAGACACACAGGCACCTTTCTTCACACTTTCAGATGAGCAGAGGCAATTGTAAACTCATGAATGTCTCTTTGCTTTTTTTAAAAAATGTCTGCATCATATAGCAGCTGATGGAGATACACAAGATCATATGTAATTTTTAACTACAACTATTAACGTAAATTCACTTGTTTATCAAACTGTTGAAAATGGCCATTTCTTAATCTGCCTTGAGGAGTTTCTGTTATGACCTCTCATAAACAACTCTGTGTCTGTTTGTTTATGAGTAAACAGAGGGCTCAAGTTTGCTTCCAAACACAAGAGCTTCCTCTTAAGCAAACATATCTCAGCAATTTCTCCTATTAAACAAAAATGTTGTAAACAACACAATTTTGCCATGCAGTGTTCAGGTTCAGATCTGCCTATCATCATTACCAAGCAAATGCAAATAATAGTTCTTATTTACTTAAAAAGTAAGCAATTAATTGGGTGTAACTTGGCATGAAATTATAAGATATAAAAGTTTAATAGTATAACTGGTACCACATCTGTTCTGAATCCTTTTTCCAGAATGCTTTGCTGCCAGCCGGACTCAGGCAGAAGGACCAGACCACAAAAGGAGCCACCGGTCCTTTTAACCGCGATAAACTGCTACAGTATCTGGAGAAGGAGGCTATGGACTATAAAGACAGAGATGATTATGCCACCTTCACTGGAGAGAAAAAAGGTACAAGGATGAAATGTTTGATATTTGATACCACAGTAGACATTAACAGAAACACCATTAAAAAATCTCAGCTCTCATTCTGATAGGATTGAATAGGAGGAGACATAATGGTCCAGGTATGGAAGATTAGCTACATTAACTGTTTAGTAAAATTTCTTAGAATAAATCAATAGGAATTTTAATAGTACGGCACAGTTTAGAAGAATCATTTTGATTGAAGATCTAGATTTTAAAACTATACTGTACTTAAGTATAGTAAATACCAGAGGTGTGACCAAGTCGTTGTTTTGCAAGTCACAAGTAAGTCTCGAGTCTTTGCATTCAAGTCTCGAGTCAAGTCCCGAGTCAAGACAGACAAGTCCCAAGTCAAGTCCCGAGTCAAGACAGGCAAGTCCAAGTCGAGTTGCAAGTCCTCAACTTTTAGCTTCAAGTCTTAAACAAGTCATTAGTGCGCTTTGCCCAAATTAGTGTCTCAGTATTAATTACCATATCAAATGTATAGTAATTTATATCAGGAAGGCAGGTAGAATATTTGACATAGTTCAATTTCATGTGAGATGGGTGCCCTTAGTAAAAAATATTTTATTAGTAACAGAATAGCAAAGACAACATAATTTCATAGAAATAACAGCTGCAACATACTTTGCATGAGTGCATAAGAATAGCTATATGCTTCTAGGTGTTATATCTAAGCCAATGAGCCATTATTTGGAACCTCAATGAAACAGATTTAAAAATATGTGAGCGGAAACGCAGAAAGAACTGCTTTGAAAGAACTAGAAGAAATAACTGCAAGCATACTTTGCAAGTGAGAGGAAACATGCAATATGGATGCAGACAAACTAATGAAGACAATCATTCAAAAATGCTGTGTTACCATCCTTTATAACTAAGAGTAACAAAGACAAAATCATTTAATAGAAAAAAAATGTTGTACGTTAAATGTTAAGTTTATAATATGCATAGCTGATCACTAAATTTAGGGGCTGTGTGTGCTATTGGCCTACAGACTGATTTACAACACGTGAATTCATTCATTTATCCTGAAAGAAATGGAAGTGACATGAGAGCCTGCAAGAGGGAGAAAAATTGAGTAGCCTATATTTTATAGTTATATATACAATACCCATTTTGTGAAAGAAACACTTCTTCAAATTATATTTTAAATTATCACTAGGCCTATTGTCGCTTGCCCACTTCAGTCATTAGGCCTAATGTGCATTTTTTTTTCCAAATGAAATTATAGCTAAATGGTTTGCATTGATTAATTTTAAATCTAAATTAAATCAAGGTTTATCTAATAATTCTGTTGCACCAAACTTCAAACCTTTAAAAATAAGCAGGTTTACATTTTAAACCCATCATTTTGATCGGATTTAAGTTATATTTAAGATTAACTTTAATCCTGTTGCACCATAACGTTAAACTCAGATTTAAATCTCAATTATGGATTAACTTTAAACTTAACCCTTAAATGCATACCTCGGGTCTTTAGCGACCCGGGACATCATTCTCTACCCTCTCCCTCCTTCATTTTTTTAAGTTAGACATCAACTTTCTTAGTATTCCTCAATCTATTAATTATAAACAATATAACAAGAAAAAAATAGTAAAATATAAAATGCCAGTTTTCTGAAGTCTTCTTTAATTTTTTGTAAAAAGTGTATAGGGTCGCTAAAAACCCGAGGTATGTAAATGTGTATGTATTTTTTCCTGCGCAACTATATTTACATATCTGATGACTCAATGTGCAATGCATCTTTTTTCCTCAAGGTGGCACTGTTTGATACACAATAATGACGTGACGTTTCACTCATAATTACAGCAGGCATAAAACAAACGAATATCATCAGCAAAAATTGAAGTGGTTTGAATGGCTTTACTGCAGAGCAATTACTATACGCAATGAAATATAAATGTCACTGTCATTTGATGCTGGATGTGGTGAATAAGCTGCCAGTGATCAAAATATTCAATATGAAGTCATTGAAAACGATAGTTTTGAGAATATGGTTGAGATCGTGAATATGAGGCAGATGCTGAATGTACTGTGGAAGTGCGCTCTGACG